TGAAAGGGCGAGCATGTTTGGTGTGACGGGGATTCGAACAGGATTATTTGAGAAGAACATACAGACATACAGCTCACACTAACCTTATCTTTCTATCCAATCAATGTGATATTTTTAGCACCATCTAAGTCATATAGAGTCCTTAATAAAAACTTTAGAAACTCAGTCGTAACTTCCTTTATCCTATGTTGATGCACTTGACAGTCGACGGTTGCGTTAACTCTTGGTAATCTTGCACATTCTCCGTCAGAGGGTGCCACTGAGCCACGGGCTTTCGAGGATTGTCTATCATTTCCAGCCAGTGATCTCGCCCGAGCCCAACACACCCGCTTCCGAGTCCACAACAGCCCATTATCTCACTGATTCCAACCCTAGAAAAAAAAAATGTTATACACTTCTTTAATGTGAGGAAACATCTTTACTGGTCAAGAGATACTTTTTTCAGGAAAGAAAGATGCAGAAGAACAGGTGCGGATATTATTGCACGCGCTTCTCTGCATTTCTATCCTACTGGATTAAAGAAATTAATGTATCTTAAATGTCTATTTTATAATGCCTTATTGTAAATGTCTATTTTATAATGCCTTATTGAAATACGATTTTTACAACAATATTTAATGCCGGTTAAAGATGAGATGATTTCTGTGTGAACTAAAAAAACAAATGTGGGACCATTCCCAGTTTGCCCCTGAAGAAGAAAGGGTTATAGGTTTTTTATTCATTAATTCTTAGACATTACCACAATGACCCATGTTAAGAAGAATAGGTTATAGGTTTTTTATTCGTAACTTCTTAAACATTACCTTTTTTAACAAAATTAACAACAACTTTATTCAGTCCTAGATAAATGCTATGCTTGTAATTATTAGCAGCGAATAACATCGAAATATACGAGTTCAGGCAACATTTGAGTTCAGGCAACATTTGTCCAAGGAAATGTGTCTGGAATGGAATTAGAGGTTTCGACAATAACTTTAAGTAAGGTAGGATTAACATGGGTCATTGTGGTAATGTCTAAGAAGTAAGGTAGGATTAATATGGGTCATTGTGGTAATGTCTAAGAAGTAAGGTAGGATTAATATGGGTCATTGTAGTAATGTCTAAGAAGTAAGGTAGGATTAATATGGGTCATTGTGGTAATGTCTAAGAAGTAAGGTAGGATTAACATGGGTTATTGTGGTAATGTTTAAGAAGTAAGGTAGGATTAACATGGGTCATTGTGGTAATGTCTAAGAAGTAAGGTAGGATTAATATGGGTCATTATGGTAATGTCTAAGTAAGGTAGGATTAACATGGGTCATTGTGGTAGTGTCGAAGAAGTAAGGTAGGATTAACATGAGTCATTGTGGTAATGTTTGAGAAGTAAGGTAGGATTAGCATGGGTCATTGTGGTTAAGTTTGATTATTTTTTGACTAGACGATAGGCCCAAGTTTATAGTATGTTCTAGTAGATAGTATATTTAATTAGTGTTAGGGTTAACGTTTTGTTTTGTTGTTTATATAAGTATTTTGGTATCTATTTTTCTCATTTATAACATGTATTATTCATTTGTGAAGATTCTGTGTAACAACATTCGTCTAACCTGTCATAATCCAAAACTTTCACGAGCAAGTTGACATCTTCAATATTTTCTGCAGGAACATCAAAGACTAAAGCCTCATTATAAACTGGATTTAACGTGTCTTTCTTGACTGACGTTTTTTTCTTTTTCATCCTCTTTCCCTGGCACATCAGGCACACTTTAACGTATGGATCTATAAACAAGCAAATAGAACGTAACGTTTTGAGAAAAGTACACAGATTAGAGATATAACAAGCTATTGTTCTTTATATGCTCAAAATGTAAATAGTTGTCATGGGAACAAATAATAGGCTTATTGAAAGGTACGCTTACAACTGTCATTTCAAACACTTGCCTGGTAGTGTACTTTATAACACTAATAGTTTACATTTCAAAGTTTTATCTTTATTTGGGTTTGACTATGAACGTACTGTTGTAAAGTTGTTCTTTCGTTAGGCGTGATCTTTTAAACTATTTGGTGAAAAATCCTTAAGGTTTCTACAACAAATTACAAGTTTTTACACTGTTGTAAAGTTGTAGGCCTAAGTTTAAAAATGACGTTCAAACGATTGTCTGACTGAATATAAGCGATAACTAACACTGATCCAAATAATTTTCTAAAACTAAATGCTTCACCGAATGATCGACATTCTTTAAACAGAAATAAACTGATTTACTGCTAGCTTATTACAGTTTGGCCCACTCGACTTTATATCTAATGCCTTACTTTGAATTCTAGTTATTCGTTAAGTTACTAGATTCTTGACCTCAAGTTTAGAGCATTGTAGATATTATAGGCCTACTTTATAGACATTTTGATCTTAACGTCATGCGCCCTCTAGGTAACAAGCAAACAAAAACACTGAAAATATAGCTTACAAAGGTCGTTAACTTCTAAAGTACTATGTAACAATATATGTCAACTATTTTGATAAACATACGAAACATAAATCTTCTCTACGTGCTAGTTAAAATTCTGTTATAATAAACAACACAAAAGGTGTTGTTTTACGTGTTAGATAAACTGTCTAAATTTTTATTTATTTATTATTAATGCCCATTTGGGGTAAGTCGTGCTCTCGCGCGTAGAAGGCGTTACATCAGCAAATCGAGCCTTACCTGATGTTCCAGTTATATCCACGGGCTTGAGAGTCTGAGCTTTGACGACAGTGACTGTAAGCCTTCCTGCTGTTGGTAAGTAACACAAGGCCAACATAATTTCTCCCAGATCCTTCATTTCCTAGTTAATTAAATAGGTGTTTATTATAAAAACAGTTAACTGGTTTTACAAAACTGTAACGTATGTGGATACAATATACATCTACAGTTAACAATCACGTGTACATTTCTTCTGACGTAATATAAAGAGAACAAATTAGATCACTTTTCGATGTGTGAATATCAGAATCCTTATTTTAAATATTCTTCTGGTTTGAAAGCTGATTGCTATTGATATTGCTAGGACATCCACGAGTTACGTGACTTGGACACGTGAAACATTCACGAATCACGTGCCTTTACATATGAAACATGAAACATATAAGAAGCACCTGCCTTGGAAACATGAAACATCTAGGAGTAACCTGCCTTGGACACATGAAACATCTATGAATCACGTGTCTTGGAAACATGAAACATCTATGAATCACGTGTCTTGGAAACATGAAACATCTAGGAGTAACCTGCCTTGGAAACATGAAACATCTATGAATCACGTGTCTTGGAAACATGAAACATCTATGAATCACGTGTCTTGGAAACATGAAACATCTAGGAGTAACCTGCCTTGGAAACATGAAACATCTAAGAATCACCTGCCTTGGACATGAAACATCTACGAATCACTTGTCTTTGAAACATGAAACATCTATGAATCACGTGTCTTGGAAACATGAAACATCTACGAATCACTTCCATTGTTTCTCCTGGTGGCTCTCACACAGAACAGTATTGTTTCTCCAGGTGACTCTCACACAGAACTGTATTGTTTCTCCAGAGGACTCTCACACAGAACAGCATTGTTTTTCCAGAGGACTCTCACACAGAACAGTATTGTTTCTCCAGAGGACTCTCATTGAGTGAGAAGATGAAACTATTGTTTCGCCAAAAAAATGTCGCAAAATGAGAACAAAAAAACGTGATGATGATCATGTCGTTACGTCAAAAGATCAAATCTACTGAGAATGTTGACTCGAGATATTAGCGGAGCACTTGAACAATTAATGTCTGCATATTATCCATTTTAAATGACATGTTGAGCTCAAAGTAATGTTTTTCTTATTTTTTCTAGGTTCTGCAGGCTCTTGATCTTCCTCTTAAAGACACCTCGGCTACTTCAGATCCGTATCTGAAAGTTTTCTTATTTCCTGATCGTCAAAAGAAGTTTCAAACAAGGGTAGGTAGAGATTTAGCCATGTTCTAGAAAGCCATATTTACATTAAACAAAAACCATCTCTATGTTCCTAATAATATTCTCTCTATTGTACTCATTAGGTTCACAGGAAGAACCTGAACCCAGTTTTTAACGAAACGTACGTGTTCGTAGTGACCCACGACCAGCTGAAGACCCAGACCTTACAGTTCTCTCTGTACGACTTTAACCGTTTTTCCCGTCATGACTTGATTGGTCAAGTACAAGTTAAGGGTCTGGACGAGATCTGTGACATAACCCACGAAGTGGAGTACACAATGGACATTTTGTGCGTCCCTCAGGTAAGGTATTTCTTGTTTTTATTTCGTGCAATTTACAGATGTTTCATCTTTCCAAGACTATTGTTTCTCCAGAGGACTCTCACACAGAACACTGTTCTGTGTGAGAGTCAACCTGGAGAAACAATACTGTTCTGTGTGAGAGTCCTCTGGAGAAACAATACTGTTCTGTGTGAGAGTCACCTGATGAACAATACTGTTCTGTGTGAGAGTCCTCTGGAGAAACATTACTGTTCTGTGTGAGAGGCACCTTCAGAAACAACACTTCTCTGTACGAGACTCGTCTGGAGAAACAAGACCAGTGAGCTTGATTTAGACACAATATGAGTTAACTCTGGCATTGAGAAATATCCTGGTATAATAATTAAATTATTTTAAAAATAGAAGGACTTTTCTTTTGTCCTTTGGTGCACCAAATTTGGTATCGGATGATTACTATAGAACACAGTACTAAACTTTGTGAGACTATTAACTCGACTTACTCTGACGATAAGACCTTCTACATCTCGGTCGTATTTCAAAGTAAAAAGTAGTTTTCCGCAAGGTGTCCCTAGTGTCTCTCTGCTGTTGGTACATGTCACATCTTCGGTTTGGTAAAGTGCAGGTTGAATTTTTCCCACCGGCGACTTCTCTCGAGTTGGTTTGTGGCAAACTTTGAATTAAAGAAAACAGATATTAATAAATAGGCTTTAAAAGCGATCTCTTCGAAACTCATATAGACGATAAAATAAACTTTCAACGACACGATTACGTACACTGTAATAATACTGTATATTTTAATATATTAATTGGCGTCAATTCGGACAAAGCTAGGAATGTTTAGTGTTTTATTAGACAGATACACTAACGGGGATATTTTAATAACAGTGTTTACTAACATCTATACTAATAGCTCCATCTGCTTATAGTTTCCATGTGTTAGCTTCATTTTATCACACAAGAAAAAGAAAGATTATTAAATTTATCTATTGTTTTATTTCACTCGTAAAGGTCAACAAAATATTAAGTTGAAGTGCCTACCGAATTGTTATTGTTTTGTCATACGTGTTGACACTACTCACTGACTCTTCCTAGGTGGCTACTAAATGCTGACCATCAGTCCAGGTGATAGATAGCATGTGATATTATTTTGGTACAGTAATACCAGTATATCTACTCACCCTATAGGCCACATTGTGACTCTCAAAAAATACGTTGACATTTGGCCAAGCTATGTTTATTTTTCAAACATGGAATATGTTTTTTTTTTGTAAGGGTTGGGACTTGCTAAGCCTAAAACATCACTAAGATACGACTTGATGTTATACGTGTATCTAATGTCTGGTCAGTTTGGCCATAACGGGTTGAATTTAGTTACCATGAACAACTTTAGTTTAAAATTTCTTGTAAAACAGGTCAAGGTTCTAATGTTAGTCTCGTTTTAATGTCTGGAAGTTTGTTGTATGAGATTACCGCTTTTGTTAAAGGGTGTGAAACCTGGCTTCTTTTGTCATAACTATTATAACCTACGTTTATATGTGATAATTCCAGTTCTCCGTTACATGGCCCGGGCAGGTGGTTAGGCGCTCGACTCATAATCTGAGGGTCGTGGGTTCGAATCCCCGTCACACCAAACATGCTCGCCCTTTCAGCCGTGAGGGCGTTATAATGTGACGGTCAATCCCACTATTCGTTGGTAAAAAAAGAGTAGCCCAAGAGTTGGCGGTGGGTGGTGATGACTAGCTGCCTTCCCTCTAGTCTTACTCTGCTAAATTAGAGATGGCTAGCGCAGATAGCCCTCGTGTAACTTTGCGCGAAATTCAAAAACAAACAAACAGAAACAATCTCCGTTACACATATTTTTATTTCCCACCTTTTTGCCCCCTGGTGGCTCAGCGGTAAGTCAGTGGGCTTATAACGCTAAAAATCGGGTTTCGATACCCATGTTAGGCAGAGTACAGATAGCCCATTGTGTAGCTTTGTGCTTTTAACTATAAACAAACAAATCGTTTGTGTGAGAGTTGTTCAGAAAATACGTTTTTAACATTTGAGTGTTGAAAATAGAATATTTCAAGCAACGTGAACAATATGTATTTGATGTAGACATTTTTAAAGCTATTATATGTTTTATTGTCTTCAATCTGTTTGGACAACCATAATATTTTTTTTTCCGTTTCCATAGTAACACCATCTTCATTTTAAAACACCCTCTTTATAAAATAACATCTTATACAGGTTTTATCACAACACCCTCTTTATACAGCAACACCTTATACAGGTTTCATATCTACCGGAAGTGCAGGTGCAAAAGGTGTAGGTGTGTGAGGGTGGTGGTGGCAAAGTTGGAAGTTGTCAGAAATGAATCCGCCCAAGAGGCAGGATGAAAATTTAAAGAGAATCGGAGGAACGTTGGTTGCCGTGTAAAATCTTTATGTTTAGATTTCAAGACGCCATTTGTAATTATCGTAGTTGATGTTTTTATTTTCATTTTATGAACGTTTATCGTTTAGCTAAACGTATTTAACACTTGTTGTTTTGTGTCCCTGGTCTTTATGGTATTTTAATGTTAGGACTGTGTTCCTGGTCTTTGTGGTATCTTATTGTTAGGACTGTGTTCCAGGTCTTTGTGGTACTTTAGTGTTAGAACTGTGTAAAATACCACAAAGACCAGGAAGGAACACAGTCCTAACACAAAATACCACAAAGACCAAGTGTTGGGACTGTGTTCCTGGTCTTTGTGGTATTTTAGTGTTAAGGCTGTGTTCCTGGTCTTTGTGGTAGGTCCAAAATAATTTCTCGATATAAAAGAGAAGTATTCCGAAATGTATTTAAGATAGAGTCTAAAAGATAAGGTAAAGATATCAAGGTAAAAAAAAGTTTATATTTTCACATTAATGTTGCTTCAGCTTTCCCCCTCATTTTAATAAACCTTGCACTAGACCGCATGAAATAGACAGAAAGAGTTCTATATCTAGATGTCACCCTCACAAAAAAGCAATTGAAAGACATATATAAAACAAACCACATCATAGGTAAGTTTACTCCTGAACGATACCATGAATTAAACTAGCCACTACAAGAAGATATTATCTTCTGATGTGGAACTCTGGCATTACAAGTCAGAGACACAACCCTAGCACCAAAACACCACAGAAATCAGGGACACAACCCTAGCACCAAAACACCACACAAATCAGGGACACAACCCTAGCACCAAAACACCACACAAATCAGGGACACAGCCCTGATACCAAAACACCACAGAAATCAGGGACACAACCCTAGCACCAAAACACCACACAAATCAGGGACACAGCCCTGATACCAAAACACCACACAAATCAGGGACACAACCCTAGCACCAAAACACCACACAAATCAATGTGGTGTTAGTTACAAAACAGTTTTCTTGTTGGTGTTTTACTTCTAGTCGGTACAGAAGACAAAAAAATGAACCAATACAGGGAAATTTTTATATAATACTGTGTTTCCCAAAATTGAATATTTTCGGAATATAACAATATCATGAACTCACAAAACTAAAAAAAAAAACTAAAAGAATAAAATAGAATAAACATTTAACTAAAGGCTTCGGATTAGGGAGGACAGCCACATCGTCTCCCTTTTGACATAAATACATCTTGATAGGTTTACGATTTCCCCAATTTGTACTGCGTTTTTACACAATTCAATACTGCTCCTCTTCAAAGTAAGGAGGACACACAATTCAATACTGCTCCTCTTCAAAGTAAGGAGGACACACTTCAATACTGCTCTTTTTTCAAAGTAGGGAGAACACACAATTCAATACTGCTCCTCTTCAAAGTAAGGAGGAAATACAATTCAATACTGCTCCTTTTTCAAAGTAAGGAGAACACACAATTCAATACTGCTCCTTTTCAAAGTAAGGAGGACACACAATTCAATACTGCTCCTCTTCAAAGTAAGGAGGACACTCTATTCAATACTGCTCCTTTTTCAAAGTAAGGAGGACATACAATTCAATACTGCTCCTTTTTCAAAGTAAGGAGAACACACAATTCAATACTGCTCCTTTTTCAAAGTAAGGAGGACACACAATTCAATACTGCTCTATTTGAAAGGAAAAAAAGACCCAGAATTCAGTACTGTTTCTTTTGAAAGTAAGACTTTCATAATACTAGTTCCATACACACACAAAAAGAAAATTGGTGAAAACATGGGGTTAGTTACAAAACATTGGTGAAAACATGGGGTTAGTTACAAAACATTGGTGAAAACATGGGGTTAGTTACAAAACATTAGTGAAAACCTCCTCTTCAAAGTAAGGAAGACACACAATTTAATAGTGCTTTTCAAAGTAAGGAGGACATACAATTCAATACTGCTCCTCTTCAAAGTAAGGAGGACGCACACTTCAATGCTGCTCCTCTTCAAAGTAAGGAGGACACACAATTAACTACTGCTCCTCTTCAAAGTAAGGAGGACACACACTTCAATACTGCTCCTCTTCAAAGTAAGGAGGACATTCAATTCAATACTGGTCCTCTTCAAAGTAAGGAGGACACACAATTTAATAGTGCTTTTCAAAGTAAGGAGGACATACAATTCAATACTGCTCCTCTTCAAAGTAAGGAGGACGCACACTTCAATGCTGCTCATTTTTCAAATTAAGGAGAACCAGTATTGAATTGTGTGTCCTCCTTACTTTGAAGAGGAGAGCATTGAATTGTGTGTCCTCCTTACTTTGAAGAGAAGCACTATTGATGTCTGGGTGTCCTTTACTTTTAAAAGGAACATTACTGAATTCATAGGCTTTCTTACAAAGTTAAACTTGTCACACATTCAAGTCGTTTAAAAAGTTGAAGTTTCTTCATATCTAAGATTTCCCTGTTTCTTACATCTTGTTTGTTGTTAAGGCCTTTTTCAAGGTAAAGGACAATAAACCTTAACGCTTTACGTTGTCTAAACATATATTTGTTCTCGACGTGGACGAGACTGTGTGGGATCAACCAGGTGTTGTTTAGAGGGACGTATAAAAGAGCACCTGAAGCCGAACATATAGTTTAGAAGTCCTGTTCATCTCCAGTACCGTCACATTTTTGGTCTAGGTGTCTGTTGATGTTTGAAGAATTGCCAGCATTAGTTCCAACAACGAACAAGGTGTTAAAACAGGACTTCTAAACTATATGTAGTTCCAACAACGATCAAGGTGTGAGAACAGAACTTCTAAACTATATGTAGTTCCAACAACGAACAAGGTGTGAGAACGGAACTTCTAAACTATATGTAGTTCCAACAACGAACAGGGTGTTAGAACAGAACTTCTAAACTATATGTAGTTCCAACAACAAACAAGGTGTTAGAACAGAACTTCTAAACTATATGTAGTTCCAACAACGAACAAGGTGTTAGAACAGAACTACTATACTATATGT